CTATATGGGATATCAAAGAAGCTTGATAACTAGACGAAGGCTGAACGCTGCTGTTAAAAAGACTTTTTATGCAGCTAATATCATAATAATAGAGAACGTAAAGCTAATATATGTATCTAAGCCCTTCGAACACGTGAAAAATGATGTCACATCACACTGTATTTACCGGTTTGAGTATACATGTGGACACACATACATAGGGAGGACTCATCGATCTCTACAAGTAGGGGCTGGCTTCAAAGAGTATTTCTAAACGGCTTCAGAAATAAATGGGATCTTCAGAACCCATTAATGGTGAGAACAGGAGACCTAGCTCTTCTATTGCAAAACATATTATAGAGACAGGACATAGAATTTTCGTTAACAGATTTTTTATACTTATCTGTAAAACGTGTTTGGGGAAAGACGTATCCTAAAGTTTTATTTTTATTTTATTTTTTAATTTTTTATTACAGCTTGATTCCACACTGTATTTTTGGTACAGGTATGGAATTTTCAGCATGTGATATCGGCAGCCCAAATTTTGCAGGCCGACCATAGATATTAGGTGTGCATTGAGATTTGAAGTTCTTCCAGTGTTGATGCTGTTAATATGCGATGGGGTTGCTCTAGCATCATATCCAATCTTCCCTCCTCTCTGAGTTTGCATCCATCTGGGCAAGAATTAGGAGGAGTGCGTCAGGCAAAAAGAAATCAGTCATGGACTATGTCTCTGACTATTGAAAAGAGTCTCTTCACTGAATCACGTGTTTTGAGTTTTTATATGTTACAATGGGAATTTTCCATGTGGGAACTCTAGCAATTAGAAAGCTTAAGACACCTCTTTGCGTTCAAAAACAATTCATCACCACATTAAAACATTCCTTGAAAAATTTTGTTTTGATACAATGGCAATTTTTCAAATCCAACGTGAAGTCTGTGCCATTATACGGATCAGAGTCTTGGCGCTGCTAACTAACTAACAAACTTACTAAGTAACTAACTTTGAAATATCTAAATAAGTAACTAACTAAATAGTTAACTTTTAACTAACCAAATTTCCAACCAACTAATGAACTATCTAAGTAACCTTGAACTAAATGACGAACCAGCTAGGATTGAAATAACTAACTTTGAAGTAACTAAATAAATAATTATCTAAATAAGTAACAGGCTAACTAACTTAATAACAAACTAAATAACTAACTAACTAACTACCTACCTAACTAACTAACTAACTGACAAACTTACATAATAACTAGCTAACTAACTAACTAACCGACTTACTAAATAATTAATCTACTAATTAACTAACTACCCAACTAAGTAACTAACCTTTAACTTACTAACTAACATAAGAACGAACTAGCTAACTAACTAACTAAATAACTTAAAAACAAACCTGGAATTAACTAATTAACCGACTAACTAGATAACTAACTAATTAACTAACTAACAAATTTTGAACTAACTAGCTAACCGATTAACTAACTAACTTACTAAGTAACTGACTAGCTAACTAACTAAATTTTGAATTAACTATCCACGTAACTAACTCACTCAGTAACTGACTAATAAACTTTGAACCAACTAAATGACTCACTTATTAACTAACTAAACAACTAAGTAACTAATTATATATCTGTCCATCCGTGAATCTATTTGTATGTTAAATTCTGATTCTACCGTTTTCTGCTTCACCTCTGCCCTCTCGCTTAACAATTTAATTTACTTTGCCTTAACACATCACCTCTTGATCAATATCACTATTCTCCGCTTAACAATTTCATTATTTATAAAGGAATGATCACTGCAGGTTATTGACAGGGCAGAATTATTCACTAATTACCATGTCTGTGGGTATTTGTTTCCCTCTGTCTGTGTGTGTGTGTATGGTTGAGTGGAAATAAAAACGTCGAAAATTTAGACGATTGTAAGATTAACAATTAAAGTGCAAAATATTGAAGGGAAGTTTGAAAACTCCACGTTTTAGAGAGAGATAAATGCTTAAAAAAGAATATAAGCACCTGGAAAGGCAGTGGGAGGCAGAGAAGTCACAGTTTCAATGAAATTCCGATTACTATGTATACTATGTATACAATCACTGGAGAGCGGAATTTTACGCCCGTAGGTGTATACTACTCATTTGGTTTCAATTGAGTAGTTTTGCTTCGGCGAAGTCAACTAGCGGTATTTTCTAGCTAGAATGGAGTAATACAAACACATTATGGCTATTTCGGTCGTTTTGAGCTGAGCTTATTGGTGGTGTGCACGGTCCAACTGACCTGAGAAAGCACTGAATCACTTGAAGCTACGCGGATTCAGGCTAGCTACTTGGGTGCATACTGACGAATAATCTCAAACTACTACTAAACAACTGTCTAGTACTTCCAGGTTTCCCTGTAGAGTGATAATACAGTGCATCGTATTCTTAATTCGCAAATTACACAGTTCGAGGAGGTGGAATTTCACTACAGATTCCTTTGGGAACCAAGGATATCAGAGCCAGTTAGCATCAGCAGAGGGGACAAGATAGACGTTTATCACTCTGAAGTCAGCGTGGAGATCTAAAGCTACCAGGAGAAGCAGTATGATCCGAATTCTTAGAACTAATCTCAACCTCTTCAGTGCTTCTTAATGATTCAGAGACGTGGTGTACACGTCATGGAAAGCATATCCAATAGCATGCTGGAGACTTTTATCAACAGCTGCCTTCTGTAGCTCCATACTGAAAATCGGATTAACGAAGAGAAAGGGGCGAGAGTGAAGAATAGATAATCCATCGGAATGACCTTGGACTGACCAGTCGGATATCCCATCATTGCAAATGGACACTGTCAATAACCTTCGTTGTAAGTCTCAACCAGATTAAATTTTTGACTTCTGTGTGGAAATTGGGTTGAGGAGGAGGACTTAAACATGCATATGTGAAAGGATGATAATTCTTCAGAAGCGCTGCCTGACTACTGACATCTGTGCATTCAGATACAATCACTGTGACATCAGGAAGTCTATTAGAGTTGGTAATCCGTATGCTATGGTGATTTCTGAGATACTTTCTTCGAGAAATCGAAATCGTACCTGAGTAAGATATTGCGTATATGCTTTAATTGGTTAGTGAGACAACTAGTGTCTGCTACAGTTATGGAAACTGAGATTACCAGAATAGAAGTCGGTCTGGTTAAATCACTGGGCTAACGTGAAATCTCTTCCTACCGAAATGCTTAATTTCATCTGGATTTATCGTTGTTTTAATCGTCTAGTTATATCAGATGAGTAATCCATGGACTTGCAGGCTGATTTAACCCGCTTCTAAGTAAACGCCGTGCAATTTTTCAACGAAATGAACATATCCTTCAGAATATTACTTTACATGGACGGGCTGACTTGTGTAGTATTCTATTTGAAACGGTTTTCAGTATTCTAACTGTTATTTTGGAGATATTTTTCATACATGGTAGGATGAATTTTCTTGTAGTCTTTAATGATGGTTTCTTGTTGGTATTGTGACTCGATTTTAAACACATTTTGATGAAATTGTAAGGGGATATCCATTCTGTTTGAAAACAGTCAATAGGTATTTTTCTTCAATCCTCTTCAACACGAGAGTAGTGCTACAGCGTGTTTGAACTCTTTTAAACAATGTCTGCACACAGTTTCTTTTGTGAGTAATTGAATTATTGCTAATATAGTTGAGTATTGGATCTGTAGGTGTGCATTGATTTTCTACATATTTGTGTTTTTAAATTTCCTGTGTTGTTTCTCCTGATTAAGACGTCTAAAATTGGGATATTGTTATCTAATTCTTCTTCTTCTCTTGTGAATTCTGGTGTCTTCAAATATGCTGTTTATTAATTTATGGGTATATTTTAAATCACATTTCTCTTAATTATTACAAATGTATCATCAACGTAACGTACCCAGATTTTCAGTTTAATTATAGGTAGAGATATTAATTCTAATCTTTGCATAACGGCTTCAGCTATTAATCTTGAAATGGGCGATGATCCCATTGGTGTTCCTTTTATTTGTTCATATATTTGAGTATTGAATTGGAAGTATGTTGTAAGGCATAATTTTATGAGTAGTCTCCAAGTTGAACTGTGCGTTTTTTTGTTTTTTAATCACTGTAGAGTGATTGTCGCATAGTTTCTGTTGCTAGTTTTGGACTAATTGGAGTGTATAATGCTGTAACATCATCAAAGGATACCATTATTATTTCACTGTCATCCACTTGAATGTTTTTGATTTTCTCTTAAACTTGAATTGACGAATTGACAGAATGATCGCATGATTCCCTTAGGTAATTTAATTTAACCTCCTGGAAATTTCTCTAGATAGATTATATGTTGGTGTTCGTGGAAGCGAAACGATTGGTCGTAAGGTAATGTTTGGTTTGCGTAGATTTGGTCTACCATTTTTTTTCTTTCACGTTCCCCAGTGGAACATAAGGCAGCTTCAAGCTAGTGGTTTGAAGTTTCTGTAGCAGCGTTTATTTTACAGGATGGGGTTGCTAACCTCATGCCCAACCTTTCCTCTTTACCAGCATTATTTCTGGCTTAGCGAGGTAAAGGGGGACGTCGGCCGGGGATCGAACCTCGGACCATGTGCATGATCGGTGAGCGTCCTAACCGCTGTGCCACCGACGCACCTTGGTCTACCATAGTAGGTAGTATTTACTGCTCATGACTGATTGATTGATTGATCGATTGCGTGTTGTACGTCTGTGCATCTGTGCTGTGTTTCTATCTGTTTGCATTAATGGTGTATAATTATTATTATAAAGGTGTGCAAGTGAGTTGGCCAGCCAATCAATCAGCCAGTGAGTGAGTGAGTGAGTGAGATGGAGAGAGATAGAGCGGTAGGGTGTGTAAGTGTGTGTTGGTATGTATGAGTGTGTGCTTACATGCACAAATAGATTACGGAATATATTCAGTCTGATATACATATAATAGTTTGTATTTTTTCAGAGAAACATTTCAGCACTTGAATCATTCTACTTCCATTCTTCTATCCAACACATGGAGGAGTTCATCGAGAATCTTATTCACATTCATGAATTCACCCAATCAGTAAGTAAGATTATATAACTTAAGTTTAATAATTTTATTGATTGTTTTTTCTGTTATTTGAAAAATTCGTGAATGAATAAGCATTACTGAAAAAAGGGCACAAAACAGACAGTTCAGTGATGAGACATTTTTCCCTGGATTCATTTCCCTCTTTAGCTGTACAATCGCGGTTGGATACAATATGTTTACAGAAGACGTTTGGGTTCTAAGTGGAACATAGCACTACTACAGCACATTTCCCCCATCCTACTCTGTTCTCTTAAGTCCCCTTTATCTAGATCCAAGTGTGATGATTGTATCTCATCTCCTCCAACTCACACGATCACCTCCATGTCACTCTCTCTCTCACACACACACACGCACACTCACTCACTCACCAAACTCGTTGTTTCCCACTCAAGTTTCATCGAGTGATAGCCTAGGAAGCGATATTACCCGACAGTCTGCTCATTAACTGTCTAATCCATCACCATTCCTGTTCAGCATATTTGTTCACTAAAAGATCCTTGATTGGTTTGTTCAGAGAATTTCTCGTTGCTAATTCTTTCCGATTATCAGCCATCTGATCCTTATTATGGAGCCAGCGAAGAGGCAACTAACTGTCTGTGAAAGTAAACAGCTGACTGCCATGTTTCTGGTCCACACAGAAAGACTAACTGATTTAACACTGGCTGTCAAAATCAGAATTATTTATGCCGACAGTGACGAAGCTCTGTGATGGATGCCTATCCGATCCTCTCTCTCTCTCTGTCTTTAATATCCTCATTTGTGCCACCTCCTGTTTTAAAATGATGGCGCCCAGATAAGCGTAACCCTAGTGATCTCTTTCGAATTTCTCTCATCGTCAGGGATTTATGTGACTATCGTTACTGGTTGGTTATCGTTATCACCTTCGAGGATACTTACTGAACGATCAATATATCTCGCTTCACAGGAACAGACTAACTGATGATATATATATAGGCTCATAGAAGTAGTTAGATGTGAGGTCTGGTCTTTTCAGGCTTCTTCTGTTAGGTGTATTGCAGGTTAAGTGTCCCTTCAAATCAATGTTCATGTGAACTTTCATTTGCTCTTCATACAAATAATGTTTCGTTTCCCTGAACTTTTAGTTTGATTTTCCTGTCAATGAATATAGATGGGTAGTATGCATTTTGAAACAAACAAAACACATTGAGTGAAGAAGTGAACATTCCCTCGTCAATGTCTTCTTCATCATCAGCTGGTCCTACACTAATACATGGTTTGGTCTACATCAAAATGTCTTACTAATCAAGTGGTTATTTTAGTTAATCGGTTAATCAGGTTAAAAGCCATCAAAACAGTTAATTAACTAATTCATGTTAATCATAAGATGTCTAAGTTTTGAGGTGGGGAGGGGTGAAAATTATTTACGGAATTCCAGATGAGTTAATTCGGAGGAGTTAGGCACAAGTTGTTACATAATCAAGAAATTAGAAAAATAGCAATGATGACTCAAAATAATTAAGTTAAATACAGACTGTGAAAAATGTATAACAAAGTCAAAATATAGTTACAAAGGGAGGGAAATAGTCGTTCTTACGAAACTTAACACAAATTATGTAGTCGACCATGGCAAAGAAAGGCGCTGCACAAATTTCTTTTGAACACACACACACACACGGAGATTTGACTTTTTCAGATGAATTCCGATTACCTCTTCTTTTATGCAAATGTCGCCCTCGTATACTAAGTATAAGGTTGGTTGAAATACGAAAACAGAAAACTTTAAAAGCTCGTGTATTTGGCTACGTGTACGCTTATTGAGACCTCTGCCAAATCAAAATGAAAGGCGTTCATTCAAATTCGATGATAGACTTCCTGGAATTCATGGCCAATGTAACTAACTCTGCAGGAGCAGTTAAACTGGTGAATACACATGAAAGAGGCGAAACAGAACAGTTCGTCTTTATTTCTTCAACTAAGTACTGGTCGGTTAATGAATATAGAATGTGACATAACATGGCGTGGAATCCGATAAGATAGAATTCAATATTGTGAACTATATAATCTTGGATTCAGAATGACAAGTGGGACATGCGGAAACTATTCTGAGTGGGAATATTAATAATAATCATAATATTCGTAGTAATAAGGAAAAAAGGTACACAGAATAGCTAAATAAACAAAATAAGTAAATAAATGTCTGTCGCTCTCCGGCCAAGGCAGAAGTAGGATTGTACACACTTCTTTTGTACACAAAGGTGAAGCTGGCTTAATTTCATGAATGGCCAAGGGCTCCGCTGCCTTTAGAAGTGCATAACGAAGAAAACGCGAAAAGTTTGCATAGATTCAGTTGAAAGACCTAAAATCATGGTCACGCTCGGCGGAGTGAGAGAAGACGGTCAGGTGGTCTCAAATAGAACTTCGAACACTCTTCGTCTTGCCCTTGTAAAACCATGCTGGAATAGGTTTTCGTATCCGTGTGGAAAGCGTCCTCTGGCTACGGCCAATGTACCTTGCTCCACAAAAGCAGGTCAACTGATAGATGAACAAGAGGGAGTAAGATCGGTGAGCCTATCACTCACAGAGACGGAGAACAACCTTTGACTGTTGAACGTAATTTGTGATTTTGCTGCAAAGAAGGCCTTACCGACTGCTTTAGTGAGATGGCTTTTAAGCATATCTGAGGCTTGGTCACCTTTGAATTCCAAATGCATGAATAGGGTTTTCTTATCTATATGTATATATATACTAGTGTAAAGCCAATGATGATGATGATGATGATGAGAGGAATGAATTGAAAAGGAATGCATCATTTCGTTCAGTCCTTTAAATTCCTGTTAGGATGGAGGTTTATTTCATGAGGTCGAATTCTTCTTCTACGGCGTCAAGTGATCCGAATGGTGAGATAGGTGAGTGTGTGTGTGTGTGTGGTAAGGGAATAAATTAAACTTGATTTCAGTTTATAGGTTTCTGCTTTGATATGTTCAAAAGGAATAGTTACGGCGATAACAGAAATGATAATAATAACAATTGATTAAAGATTTTACAGGTTGAAGCTGCGCTTGAACATCTGGTTGACGATCTCCAGGACTATCTTAATACACGAAACAATAACAACTCAATGCAAAATCCTAACGGATCACATACAGTGAGTTACATGCACAACAAAAATATTCTTTCTTCTGTATCATGCCTTTTTTTTCCATTTTTTGAAAATGCGTGTCTTCACATGGCACTATATACTACTGACTAGTTGGGATGAGTAGTTGCATACCCCACATATATCAACCAGTAGTGAATCCTTGCTATCCAGCCAGCCAGACAGCCAGCCAGCCAGACAACCAGCCAGCTAACCAGATCGAGGTGATCCCCCAATCAATCACTAGCAAATAGTTTTAAGCCAGAGATTAGTTGAAAATTCATGAATTTGTGGGTTCGACTGCAAGTCAGAGTGGCGAGATTAGCTGACTGGCTGGACCACTTTCGTTTGCACACGAATGTCCAGTTTATTTAAGCGAACTGTGGTGGTCTCTGCAGTTGGTAGTTTTCGGTATCTTGAGGCCTTCAACTTGCTATCAAAATGTCAAAGCCCCTCACATTATGTAACGTTTGTCGGCCAACGCAACATGAAACCAAATTTGTGGTATAAAAGGACGTCATTTGATTTCGCACGGCTTCTTTTGTCTACCTGAATTGACGACGGCTATAACATAGTGAAAATAACCCTACTTCAACGTTAGAATAATTTTTATGAGCTGTGAGAATAATATGTAATCATGACTACATTTTTAGTTCGAGTCTACACCAGCATAGTAACCAAGGAGTAGGAGATGACAGGAGACAGAAAACAGAACAGTAAACACTGCTAGCATTACAAACGTTACATTACAACTCAAGAAAACTATGTGGCTTATAAGAGTCAATTCGGCTCAGTGAACAGAAATCCGTAATATGGGTAACTATCCAACCTCCGCTAGTTTACACGTTCTCTAGATTTTACCTCGTCCTGAGCTAGGGAAGAGAAGGAAGGTTGGGTGTAAGGTCGGCGATCCTACCCGGGAAATCGATCCAATCGCTCCTGAAACTTCGAAGTATGCGGTTATATAATCAATGCAGTCAAAATCAAAATACACTCACTAAGGAATTTAGAGACAGGCAGGCAGGCAGGCAGACAGACAAACCACACTCTCATTATGTATGCATAAGGCACCTTGGAAACAATACATTGCATTGCAATCTCTTCAGTTAATCATTGTAAATCTAGTGTTGTCTTCTGGACATGAAATATTTTAAAGGATTTAGAGATCTCGAGAAAATGTCATGTGTAACGTTCGAAACTCACGTGTTATACTGAGAAGAGATAAAACCAAGCTTCGCGTTCTACCGCATAGCTGAGCAGATCTTTTCTGAATCATGCAGAATCACGAAATTCGCCGAAATTCATTTACTTCCGATTAATTTTTCAGGAGTATTCAACAGTCATGACTACATCAAAACTCAGGATTACATCAACAATTCCGATAGACAGTCACACCGATCCATTAGTTTCTCAACTTCAGAACAATCGCTGTAGAACAAAGGTGGTTGAGTAAAATTTAACCCGAAGAACTACCTGAGAATCAGTGATATAGGCATAAATCTTGAGCACTTTTGTGCTAGAGTAAAACTCCATTATGGATAAGATCTTATCTGAATAAATAATATTAACTGATGAACTTTCGGTCACAAATTATTGTTGATCGTAATCACATCAAGTTACTCACACAACTTTTTTCTTTCATTTATATACATGTGTGGAATTGACTTGATATTTAAATATAAATCAATATACGATAATGCACTTTCAGAGGTGATTAGTAAACTCCTAGGGAAATCTAAAAGCTCACTTCAAATTGAAGTGTATGCGCTGAAGATTTCGCCTAGTAGGGTGACGAAAGCTTGTCAAATTAACTATCCAGCTCAGACAACACGACTACATCGAAATCATGCACCTGAGCTGCAAATATTCTCTCTCATATTTGGATAGATATATAGTATAGTACAGTTGTGTGTAATTGCACGTATTGCTATGGCTCAGCTGTTTTCTAGTTTTTTTTTCATCTTGATTGGAGAAGCTTATCCGGATTTTTCTAAGATTTTGTGCTCCGCTTGTCTGACTGCCCCGTTCTACTTCTCTGACCAATGTGTTTTTTACCTGACAATCATTCCAGCAGGGTATTAGATAAACTAAATTGTTTTGTTTAATTGGATCCACAAGAATCTGGAGAGTAATTCAGCTATACCACTACATCACTATGTGGAATTACACACAAACATTCAATACGTGATGGGATAAAGTCACAATTGTAAAACCTATTATAAAAGGGTGGAGGGAGAGATTGATAACGGAGGCCTTGTGTTATCGAATCACCTGGAATTACATGCAGTAGAAATGATTCAGCACCTGTGCACCCTACCGGACATCTGGAAATTTCTACTTCCCTGCGATGAATAGGAAACAGTAAAGAAAACTACAAGACTGAAGTTTCGAAGTCGTTTCACTATAATTGATATGATTATGAACAGCATTAATGAATTGTGTTCGAAACTGTGTCGTCCAGTAAATATTGAATCCGTTTCACACTGCCATCAGTGTGCTCTACCACAGTGCTCAAGTTGTGTACACACATATTAGTTTCGTCTATAAGCTCTTCAACGCTGTATCTGTTTTCCCATTACCAGAAACTAGTTGCTTAGATTCATATCATGGAAAAATCCTGTTTGTTATAGGCTGCTCAGTAATCCTGAATGATCAGAAATTATGAAGAAAATCAGGTACCTGACCAAGTGAGTTCCGCTACACCAATCGCATTGATAATATGATCGTCTCTCGCAAGCTGATGCTTTTGGATATGGCCACCACCCATGTCATAGTGGTGTTCTCGATCTACTCACCCGTTGTTCCCCTACCTAACTTATAAGTACTCGTCAAAAGAATGCACTTCTTCAACCGAAATGATATTTCTGTGCGTTATATGATTTCAAGTGGTATCAACCTGTATTACAGTTGTAGCCGTAGCATTTTGAAGACACTCTTCAGAGACTGATTGACCTAACATTAACAAAATGTGACTCTTGTCGCTTATTGGAAAAGTTGGTCGATAGCTTTGATGCTTAGGAAAGTAGCACAATATATCACACACTGAAAACCAAGAGTACTGAGTTGAGGGAACCTGGATAAGACGGTGTGGAGGTTTTCAGATTCCACAAGAAAGTTACTACCGACTGAATCAACATGTAGAAAGCAATGTGTTGTCTGCACGTCTGGATATAACAAAATGAGGGCTATTCTGTGCGGTTCTTAGAGTGATTTGGGTTGAATGATGATAGTTCTGTGGTATTCTTAGCACGCGTTTAAGAATTGAAATCTATGTGTCTGAAGTTGCAAATCCAGTAATGTAAGAGTGGAACTTGAGCACCGTGGTAGAATGTAATTCCATATTGGATCAGTTTATTTTAAATATCATACAGGGATGCAGTATTAACAGCGGATGATGTTTTGAGCATAACTTATTTCTCACAATCATATCAATTTACTCATATGGCCTCACAGTTTGTCCTGCATTTGTATTTCTCTCTCTTCCCCTTGTTATTTGTTGCCACTTCCCATATCTCCGGTATAGGTGTTACGTCATTTCGACTACACATGTGTGGTGCTGAGTGGATAATCAAAGGGTTCAGTGATTAACCTCTCTTCACATTTTTAATATTTTTGTCAGGTCCCACCCTATTTTGTGATACATGCAAGTGAATGTAGTGCAATGGATGAGCTTTTTTCTGCATTATTCAACTTAGCAGGGTCAGTTATTCTAGGTCTAGCTAAATTTTTAATTTCCAATAATCTAGTTGACCTCCATCTACTAATTTGACCTATGCAATCGACCTCACAGTCATTGCGTGGTATTCGGTGAAATGCAATTTATTAGCAACTGTACGCAGCGTCATCGAACAAAGCATAGAGTGGTAGTCAAAACTGTACCCAATTTTATCGACTACGAAAGGGCCTTCAGCGAATAGCGTTGACCAAGAAGTAATTTGGAAACCACTTCAACATTACAGCGTACAGCTTCCCAAGTCTTTATCAACCTCATCCAACAGCTAGCTATGTGACATTATCACGTATCAGGTGATCCCAAATGGAAAATTCAATGAAACCTGGCTTTGAAGCGAATACAGGAGTAATACAAGGCTGGCTGCCTATTATCACCCACGATGGTATTTCTAATTGTAGTGGACTGGTTAATGCATCAGACTGTGAGTAGGAGTGATAGGACAAGAATACGCTGCACCAACAGATGAGAAGACTCTAGATGACCTGGATTTCGCGCAGGGGTGATTTATGTTTGATGTTCTAGATAGGCGAAAACCAGCAAATTGGCTGAACAGGCAGCGAAGACAGGAATCTAGGTGAACATAGAGAAGATGAAGGTGATAAAGATATCCACGCATCGACAGCAAACATCCAGCACGAATCACAATCAACGGGAGTGATTTAACAGAGGTTACTTCACTTCCTTAACTCATCTAGCTGGGAAGCACAGTTTCAGACACAGCCAAACAGGACGGATGAAGATGTCAACGGAAGTCAGAATTGGCAATGCAAGATATCCTTTCAAACAACTTGATACAAGTTTGGAAATCTTCTGAACTAGTTCAGCGTAGAGAACAAGACTGAGATTTCCGACAAAGACGTGAAGTGGGTCAGTTCTTCTATTTGAGTCAGAAACTTGGCAGGTTTGTCACGAAAAGCACTTCCAACAGATCACTTAAGACTTTTACCAACAGCTGCCCACGTCGCTGGCTCCATACTGAAGGTTGTATGGTCGGGCAGTTACAAAGAATTAGCGCAACGAGAAACTCTGGTTGGCAATAAACTATCCAGGAACATATCGTTTAACGCACACGCTGACGACATCGTGGAATCACATCACTCATCAAGCCACCAGTTGAGTGGGACTCAAATAAGGAACGACGAGTGGGTCGTCGGTGCGAGGGTGACACAGGGGCCAAGATGAGAGATTATCAGTAATCTTGAGCCAGCCAAAGAGGACAACAGTGAATTGAACGAAGTGACGGTGTGTTATTGAAGCCCTATGTCCCACACGGAACCCAAGGGAATAATAATAATTACACATATATAATCGGATCTATTAGGTCTTTAAGCTGACAGAGTAAATCTCTGAGAAAGTTGGTTGGTTGGTTTGTTCGTTGGAATTTAATTGCCACCCTAATTCCAACCTCATTAGGAATCCTATATTGAGCATCTGATCTTCCTTCCTTTTATATGTGTCTTTGAATTCCATATCACTTGTATTATTTCCATCCCATCCTGCATACAAAATCAACGCTTCTGGCACTGGAACTTCAAGGCGTATATTCTACTTGGACCTCAGGAAACGAGGGAAAATGAAGTCGTGCTTCGAATAACTTGGTTTCAAATTGTTTTAAAATTATATAGATGGCCTGATTTCGGTTCGTGTACAGGAATTATCGATCTTTTCAGAATTATTGGTATGCATAATACTGGTAAATTGCATTAAGTGCCGAAAACCATTTGAACAAGGTCATACAGATCAATTAACTCTTTCTTATCATAAACTTCTTTACCCGTTTAGGCTATGCAGACTATGATTCCTGCAGATGCCAGTGTACAAGCGGAATTTCCACATTCAGAAGTAACTCAAACAGAACCCGAAACTGCATTGGAAATATCGAATCCACCGAATTCAGTAGATGCCTCAGTGGAGTCTGTTGATCAGTCTGGAAATCGTGAACAACACACTGACTCTTCTAGTAAGTCAGGAGTTTGTTTCATCATTAATTTGGTACTTTCATTATGAAAATCCATCATTTTGTTAAACAGAATCTGTCTATACAGGCTCTGTTTTCAGTTTACAGTAACACAATAGTGTAAAACTAGTCTTATCTTATGCACCAGACTCTGTTTCACTGACGTAACCTCCCCTGTTGTAATGTGGATGGTGCGTATTCGAACCCGTGTCGCCCAATCCTGCAGTCTGAGGCGTTCGAATGTCAGAGGGACATGAGTCCCTTCGAGGTCTCAGATAAGCCTTGTTGATCAATGCCAACTAGCACGAAACCTAGGTCGAAGGAATCCTGTGGCCGACTTCCGCCAACCATCTAATAACTACACTTCTCAGTGAACCCTGATGGAGAGCCACTCTGCATAATGACCACATTGCAAACATGACTGATAGAATTCAGTCTGCACCAAAGATACGACTAGACACACACACATTACACTAGTTACTGACCAGTGTCCAATCAAATGGTAACTATTAGTAGAACAGTTAGACAAGAGACACCGGACGTGCAGTGGGAATTAGTCAGGCTTTCCAAATAACCAATACTACAAGAAAACCAGGGTTACTTCAGTTCTCAGAAGCCAATATTATCAATATTACCCGACAGACTGGGAAACGGCGAATTGGTCGTCAGTGGGAGAGTGGGGTGACATGGAGGAGGTCATATGAAGAGAGATGTAAGCATGTGGGCAGACATGGAGCCGGGTGAAAACGTTGGAAGAGGGCCGAACGCATTGGAGACGTGCGACTGATGCCCTATGTTCTCCTAGGAAATAAAGGAAACAATAATAACAATAATTATTCACCACCACCCTCCCTAGCTCTCCAACACAATATGTATGTATTCACTCTCTTATTCTGTCTTGTAATTTGTCTCCAGTCCATCCTTGTTTCAAAGCCACTGTTTAAAACATTTGTTCCCTTTAGACATAAGCTTTTACGTACATGTTCAAAAATTCGTAGATATGCCCTTCTTTCTGTCCTTCCAATGTAACTAACTGCCCCCGAAGATACATGTAAATTTATGTATGCAGATGGAGATATCAAGAGAAGGGTATTTGTCGACTTTTGACTACACCGAACAGCGTATTGTCCGATAGACGGGGACCAACATAGCTGACTGCAGGGTAGGCTCTGGCTGGTGATGTACTCAGTCTTCTGCTCACGATAATCAAGATGAATGTAGATGGGCTTTCTTTCCACTGTGATTTGCTTGACATTTGAGACTTCAAATCTTCCCTACTTGTTAATGAATCTTTGAGGATAACCATTGTATTTCAGCACATTTTCGAGAATCATAAATCCTTCCTCTAATTTCTTTATAGAGCATATTCTCCTCGCTCTATAGTACAGAGTCTTGACAAGTTCACGTTTGAAGCTATTTGAACGAAAACTATTAGAATGTAGGTATTGTCCTTTTTGTCCTTTGCTAAATTCACTTCTGAAGACTATCAAAAATCACGATATATGAGTATACTCCCGTGCAAGGAGCACCTTATGATCATGACCAGTAAAGGTTAATTCAAAATTAGAAGGACGCCGAAAACATCCATCAAGACATTAGAGAGAATAGAACAAGAAGTCCAACAAACTGACATTTTCTCAGAAATTGCATACTCAAAAACAACTGCACAATCACCATTTACATACACAGATTCAATGTCTGTTAACTCCCAGCTAGACTGTACTACGATGAACAACTTTCTATCGGGAGTCAGCTAATGGTCCTCATCTAATGGTCTGTCTTAAACTAAATCCTTCAACATGTTAGACTGTTAATTTCAGTTTCCGATGTAAAAGAAAGTTAAATGAAGTTATGACTGTTGCAAAAGTGATGATGGTGATATAGAAATCAAGTGTGAAGTTAAGTATCTTGGATTAATTCTTTCTTCTCACCTATTCCGGTCTCCCCATAACTTAGCGATTTCTAAAAGCATATTTCGTCCGACTTTCTACATTAAGAAGTCAAGGCACTCAGACATAATTCAACCTCTCCTCCTCCGTTACACTTTGTCAACTCGTGCATCCTACCTATTATTCTTTACTGTTCACCCGACTTAATCCCTCCTGGATTGCTTAAAAAATATGACTATGTCATACTTCGTAGAACTCTGAAGACTGTCAGTCAGTAGGGCGAGTGGTATCCAATTGGGCCATATCGTTGACACCGTCATTGATAGGCACTGGATTTCATGCAACAAATTCGCTAAAGGAATTTCGTGAGGCTGTGAGCATCCCCCACTGTACCCGAAGCTCCCACCTTGTATCAATCTCCTCAGGTAAAACAAGAAGTCTTTTCAAAAGACTTATTGCATGAAGGTTAAGTATGCAAATTACACGACACTATATTTTGCGGAACGTACTTTATGTGATGAAAGTAGTGTCAGACATGAACTAACCAACTAACTAACCTTCTTTGCACTACTAAATAAACCATTTTCTCCATCCACCCTTACAGCATCAAGCTGTATTTTTATTGTTCCTCTTGTATTAATAATTCCCGCAATTTTTTGTCTTAATTTGTTTATTTTCTCAAAAGTGTAAACATCAATAAGGCTGTGTTGTGACTGTTAATTTTGCCTCTCCCCTCACCAGGCTCTATCAAAAGAACGTTAGACTCAATACTCTATAACATGCTAAAATTCTCAAACTGAATCGACAATACAGTTTGAAAAAATGTTATTACCATTATTATATTAATTATTCACTTTTGTACTTTGAATACTTTTGACTTTATACCGTAAATGTGAACGAATTCCTCTGGTTAATTTTTTTGTCTTAATTTTATTTATATTTTGAGTAAATCAAATGCACTATTGTGACAAATGCTGAGAAGTACATTCTGTATTATGAGTGCTGTCTGTTTTGGAAAAAGTAGATCATTATTGTTATTATATCGATGGATACAGTTATTATTCAATTCCACACAATAAAAAAGGAGTTTAAAGGTGATAATCATTTTTTACAAGGGGCTTAGAAACAAAATTACACTGGATTAAGTGAATAGTTAATATAAGAATAAAACTTGTGCACTGTGGCGGTAGAGTGCAATTCCATTATGGGTAGATTTTCGTTTCGATAAAGTCTCAAAGTGTGTTTGTTATACAGTAATGTTTACTGATGCGACCACGATTCGAGCACAATTTATTCCTGCTCATAATCATATCAAGGTACTCCTCACACGACTTCCTAACTTCATTTATATGGTTCCATTATTTTTCACTTCATTTTCGCTTGATTAGATTGGCAGTAGTGTTTTCCATATTTCTGGTATTTGCATTGAATCATTTCTGTTGCATGTGTTGTGTTGTGTTTGGTGTAGACTCGATGAACAAGGATTCAGTGATCAACTTCTATCTCTCTCCACCTACCTAGATTACTTTTTAAAATTCTAACCCTCTCCCACCAAGCTATTGTGTAGCTCTGTGTCAATGCATGCAGTGGAATGCAGTGGTGAGCTTTTTTCTAAATTACTTATCTTCTCGGGATCAAGCATTCTTACCTTAGCTAAATTCTTATGTTCTGACAATCTGACTACCCATGACCTACTAGTTTGACCTATGTAGTTGACTTAACTCACTGTTATTGCAGGGTATTTTGTAAATTATATTACTTGTTTAATTGGGTCAACCTACAGGATCCTTCAACCTACTGAGTTTGTCCTATCTGATTGAGTTTGTAGGTTTAAATGCCACCAAGCTAATTCTTGCTTTATTTACAATCCTACGTAGAGAGGGTCTCAGATGTCCCTTTTTATATGGTATAACAGTGGATGACTTATATTCTCTCTTATTTATGTTATTGTTACTAGTTTCACAATTATTTTTCTTTTCTTTGGCCTATTCTGATCTTCCTAATGAATTTTATACGGTAGTTAGTTATGTAACACCAACGCCTCTTCTATCAGTTTTATTTCATCATTTAGGTCTTTTTTGTGCTACTTTGTAGTGCCGTTGTTCGGTTTGTTGAACACTTAACTAAGCCTGCTTTCACAGGCAGTTAATGGATGAGATGAATTAAAGTTTAAGTATCTATTAGAATGCGATGGTTTTCTGTAACACTAGTGTGTAGTTTGTCTTCTTCTATTCGTTTCATTTTACAATCTAACATGCAGACTAATTCTCCTTGTTTATTTTCCGTTTCAAATGTGAATTTTATTCCCTCCACTAGTGAGTTTATGTGTGTCAAGAAGCTAGAGAGAGATATGTTCTGTTTTTAACACTGTGTGAAAGCGTTAATTATCCACATATCTCAACCACCATATTTTCGGAGTAGGAGTAAAGGTATTAAGAGCATTACTTTCCCAGCTATCCATAAATATATCTGCTATGATAGGGGATATTGGTGATCCATCTCATGACTACACCTTAAGTTTGTCTATATATTTTGCCTTGGAATTTAAAGATAGTAGATGTGAGGCATACTTGAATCCCTAAAATAATTTCTTCAATGAGTAGCTTCGTCCTATAATTAAAAAACAGTTAGTTTTAAGGGAAAAGAGCTGTGTGAATCAGTGGATTTAGCATGGAAACAAACTGAAATAATAGTTTTTTTTATCACTGAAATGAGAGAAATATTAGGGAACGAAAAGAGAAAGAGACGAAAAATGAGAACTAAACAGTCATATCGAACTAGATCCATGGTAAATCTAGACTCGGTATCAGTTTCTTTTGGACACATAGCTCCGGTTTTCAATGCATAAGGAAAGGGCTTCTACAGTTCACAGAAGTCGTAAACACACTTTGAATAATGAGTCAGTTGAGATGACATGATAGGTGTTAACGAAATTTTCAATTATACGGCTTGTGACTGAACTCTAAGAGTGATATTCTGTAGTCCTCAACTGCTCATATCCAATGTAAAGGACAAAAATCCACATATGACCATTCCAATTTGCTTATATACGAAGTTCACATAATCTTGCTTAGCTAGGTAAATTGATTGTTCTATGCGGTTCCCATCAAAACG